GTCTAAAGTGAAAGAAATGCACCTTCTCACTTTCACTACTAGCCACTATCCACTTTTATTGTATGTGTTGGTTACCTTTGAAAACGTGAGAGATATTTTGTCCTAAAGTGGGACTTCTCACAATCCCTCTGGTCCATGCTGAATACTACCTCAAAATAAACAACTCCCCACAGGCCTCAAATTAGATTACTGTATAGTGCTCATTAGTGGAATGTTTTGAGATATCTGAAAGGTCTAATGAAAAATCGTAACTGGTGGGCAAACTAGGTTGAACGTGAAGCGTATAACAACTGAAGCAGGAGACTGTGGATCTCTGAGCTTTGACCCAGTGGCTGAATGGTTAACGCATTCATCACTGAACCTGAAGGTCGGTAGTCGTTGGTGCATAATGCCGAGGAGTCCCATACCAGAAGCAAATATCTATCCGATGCTCCAAAGTTTTCAATGCTCGTGAAACTGATGCCATCCCATAATGAATTATTATTACTATTTTTTCTCTTGAGTTCCTAGGGTAACATAGGGCTTCAGTATCACGCCTCCATTGCACTCTCTTCTCTGCAGTCTTTTGAACCTCGCTCCACGACTGCCCACAAGCTTTCATTTCTTCCTCACATGATCTCCTTCACGTCATTCTCACCTCGGACGCCCAACTCGCCCCTTTGGATTCCACACGACGGCCTGGCCTGGCCAGACGCGTGATGTCCCCAGTCGGCCTTCTCAGTGTATGCCCAATCCAATCCATCTCCACTTTCTTCTGCATATTTGTTGGGTGATGGGTTGTTGGTTGATTCGTTGTCCGGCCAGAGTTCTTTGTTGCTTATTCTTTCTGGCCATCCATCTATCTGATCTTCAGTGTCAGTATCGAGTGAGCGTAGGCGAAGGCTGTTGGTGAATGTTTGTAGTTTGTTGGAAATGCTTTTTGTGACGTGCCAAGTCTCTGAACCGTATAGCAGGGCTGACTTGACATTGGTGTTGAAAATCCGGATCTTGTTCTTTGTACTGAGCGCAGTAGATCTCCACACTGATTTCAGATTAATGCGGGAAGGCTTGTTTTTCTTTTCCACTCCTGGTTTTGACATCCTCGTCTGTGCCACCACCACCACCTGTAATTGATACTATGTTGCCTGGTTAGGTGAAAGAGACAAGTTGCTTTAGGTTTCTCCTGTTCATGGTGATTGGTGCTTGTTTTTGATTCTGTTGTTGGTTGGGTATCTTCATCACTTCCAACTCCATCTTCTCTACATTCACTTGAAGTCCCGTTTTCGTTGCCTATTCCATCAACTTGTTAGTTTTTGCCTGTAGATCTTCGAGTTTGTGCGACAAGACATTAGACATAAATCATCATCGACGGCTAAATCCAAATCTTCTTCTAGAATCTTTTCATCGGTCCAGCCAGTTTATGCCTATCTCGCTTCTCACGGTTTGCTGCATGATCCAGTCTAGTCGACTACAAACAGGAAGATCATCGGTGATAGTAGGTGATAGCCTTGTCTTACTCTTGTCCCTTGTCTTCGCTTCAAAGGTGTCATTGATCTTTCCATTATGAATCACTTGGCGTGTTGCGTCGTCATAGCTGTTGAATGAGTTTGATAAAGTTTTGTGGCACTAAAACCCTGGTGTTGAATCAGTTGCCAAATTATTTGTTGGTTGACGCTGTCGAAGGCCTTTTCAAAATCGATAATGAATACTACCTTGAAATAAATAAAATTCAAACAAATCTGAAACTAACATTATTCATTTGATAATATTTCGAATATGTCAATATTATTTATGGAATGATTCTCTACCACATCGCCTAAGTTCTATACTGACTGTTTTTTTAAGGCTTCTCTAATAAGGATTGTTGTGTTTACACGAAATTGTTTCTGTTCATTAAAAGGTATACTTTAGTTTCTATTACTTTCATATAGTTGTTATTCTCACCTATTAAATTTCAAGAACTATCTTATCGTTTTCAAATATTTTAGTACAAAGCAATGTGTTGTAGTTGTTGTTGTGTTTTATTTATTTATTTATTATTCACTATTTGTTTAAGAGTGAGCAGCATTCTACTTTGAGAGATAAATCTGTCTCTATCATTCCTCATCATTCTCTCACGCTCTCTTCTTTGTACAAAGCGATGAAACATTAGAATTCTGACGTTTATTCAATAGAATGTTTCAGTAAAATGAGATTTTATTCTTTATAATACTATTGTTAACTATATAATCTTTTGTAAGCAAGGATATAATACTTTCTAATGAAGATATGAAATATCCTATACAGCATAACAAGCTTATATGGATATATATATATATATATATATATATATATATATATATATATATATAAATGAATTTTGATGCTTTAGGTTAAAACAAACCATGCCCAATGTATATTCGGTAATTAGTTCGTTTGATAGGTAAATATAGCTTAACCCGAACAAAATGTGATCATCCATCAGTATCGAATTGATTTAAGTAACACACTTTACTGATTGATGTAAGTGGTTTGTAGCTAGTTAATAGTGTTGTGTGCTCCATGTATTCATTTATGTATTGCTTGTATGTTGGATAAATTTTAACCTAACCTGTAGTTCATGGTATACTGCTGAATCGTTTTAGAGACCGATCGATTCGGTTCTGCCAACGATGGGATAATATAAGCAACAACACAGTGAGTGGCTGTTGTGACTTGCTGACCTTGTGAACAATGCCGTGGTGTTTGAAGCGAACGGTCTCGGACTCAAGTCTCAGTGGGAACAATACTACTCAACGGTAGGTAGGTACATCAAGCTGATGAGTTCCAAAAAAGACGAAACGCGGATGCCTGATCCCACTGTTAGCCACTATCCATCATTGCTCTCTAGTAAAGTAAAACTCCGAAGTCAAACATTTGATGGTCTGTATACTTGTCTAGTACATTATGAAATCGTAAAGTACATTTTAAATACATTGTCTAGTCACTAAGGATTATTAATTACATCTTGTGTAGTCCTAAATGCCGGTCAGATCCTGTTGACCATTTTACAATATGGCCATTAAACTTTGGGGTTTAGGATGTCAATCGTGGCCCAAATATCCCACCGATAGTGTCTTTGACTAAAGCATTGGGTAATGCGAATATGAATCTCACTAATGGACATTAGTTACTTCGAGGTTACAGATACCTCTTGCTTGAGAATGCTAGCAAGTACAAAACTTCAGTCTAGTACTTCCTATCAATTGCCTCCAACCAACTAACGTACAATCGAAGGGGTTTATTTTCGAATAGGATAGTTCTTAATCGAAGCAATAAGTGATATTGCGTTACTATTCTCTTATGTTGTCTGTCAATAAGTCATATTTCTCATATCCGACGTGTTTTACTTCACAAAGTATTGTTTTCTTTATGTTAGGTCTGTCATTTCAAACAAGTATGACCATCAATGTGATTTTTATGATTTCAGACTTTAGCCATTCATTATCTTCACTCATTAAATCCTTTGAAGTCAGATTAGCTAATGTGGGTCTTGATATAATGCAGTTAAACACTGTAGCTTACATAGGCCTTGGTAATCATCGTCCTTAGAAAGCACGTTATTGACATGTATACGGGATAATCCATCAGCAACTTCGTCTCAGGTACCTTTAATACGTTGAATATCAGAAGTAAACTGCGATATAAACTCTAGGTGTCACATTTCTCGTGGCGAATAGTTGTCTTGCTAAGCTGATAATGCCTTAGTCAACACCTTGTGGTCTATGGAAATCGTAAAAATGGTACCCTTTAACATATATCTGAAATCCTTAACAGCTAGATATACAGCCAGCAACTCTCTACCGAATGTTCTGTAACGATACTGAGTTGGTTTCAAACGCTTTGAAAAGAATGCTGGCGGTTGCCATTCTCCACTTACGTTCTGTTGTAAATTGCTCCAACAACAATATTAAAGGCATTTGTCATGAGTGGTAATGGAATATTTACATCTCTCCTGAAAAGAGTGGTCGTCTCGTTAAGTAGTTGCTTCGATTTTTTGAATGGTTGAATTCCTTCCGCAGACAGATGGATAGAGCGGGAAGTTCCACGTAGAAAATCAGTTAACGACTGTAAAACAGAGGCACAGTTCAGAGTGAAACGACGGTGGAAGTTGACTAGCCCTAGGAAACGGCGTAGTTTCTTGAGTGAGTCTGGTAGCGGTTAATCTTTTATAACTTTTACTTCATCTGAAAGTGGTTTTATGTCTTGTTTGTCGATTAAATGTCCTAAGGATTTCAATGAGCCTTTCACAAATTCGCATCTGTCAAGATTAGTTACTACCCCGTATTTTTTGAGTCGTTCGAAGATGACTTTCAGATAGATCATGTGTTCTGTCTCATCTGAAATGGTGATAATTTTTTCATCGATGAAAACATACACAAAAAGGAGTTCACGGAGGACCTGATCTACTAACCGTTGGAATATCTGAGCAGCATTGATTAGTCCGAAAGGCATGCGAACGAATTCATATAAGCCGATAGGAGTAGCAATGACTGCCTTTTGGAAATCATCAAAATTATTAGGAATATGATAGTAGGTTCTTGAGGTTCAATCCTTTTGTACTATCGTAGTGTTTTAATTACATGATGGCAGTTCAATATTGAAGGCCGTCTCCATACTAAAATGAAATGCTTATAAATAGCTCATTTGCACAATAATCTTGTCACTGTGACTCACTTTGAAATATATTTTTTACGCAGCTTCACAAAGAAAACTGTACTCCATTGGATTCATCAAGTTGAGGGGTAGAAATTATATTGGAAATCAACTGAATCTCGGGGATTCGAACGATGGGGGGTGTGAACCCCAGTGATTTGTGTCTTAATGATTCCGGGTGCAGTTTCTCCTGGTTTTCAGGGACTCTGTAGTTGATTAATGTCTAGTAGTGATGAGAACTCTTCATATTAATCCGTATTTAATTATGTTATAGTATTCACATTTGATAATAACTGATGTTTAATATGTTTACTTTTTTCACCTTTTCACCTTTTTTCATTTTACAGGTCTTCACTCTGTAGCAGATATCTTCTGTGATTGTTGTCATACTGTCTTAGGCTGGAAATATGAACAGGCCTTTGAATCTAGTCAAAATATAAAGAAGGCAAATATATTATCGAGTTAGCTCATTTAATTAAAGACAATGGATGGGATTGGATAATTTCTGAGTTGGAACAACGAAGACCTTATTGATGAAAGCTTCACTTCATTATTTCTTTTATTGGCTGATACAATAAACAATTTTGTCTAAACTTATAATCATATATTCCATGTTATGCACCTTTACATACATCACCATCGTTATCATGATCATCATCAAGATGATAATTAATCAATGAATTATTATTATTTTTTAAATGACTGGATATAATTTTATCCAATGTAATAAACAATCCTCATAGTCTTTCAGTGTATTGAATGGAGATTTCTGTTTTGTCCTTCATTTACTGCTTTTTATGGATTGTCCTTACTCTCTTTCTCTCTCTCTATGTTTTAGTTTACATACACACTAGGTCAGTTGGGAAGTTTAGCACAATTCATGGTGTTAATTATCTCTTTTCTTTTTTTGTTTTTCTTTCTAAGCTTTCTTTCTTCACTTCTATTGTTAATCTTACATTGACTTGTGTTGTGCATAATAACTTATACATGTTTACATGTTATATATATATATTCCTCAGTGAATATTGAACGGATTTATTGAAAATTGAATGGTTGATAAATATTAGACGGTAAAAATCAAACAAAAGAAACCGGGAATATTAAATACATCTTGTCTACATGTCTACCATCTTCATGATAGTTCATGAAGGAATCAACTATGAAGATGATAATGTTTGTTTTCTCTTGTTAGCTTTTCTTTGTTCACTTGAAAGAAGACTAGTGGAAAAATCCAACCAATTGAATATTGTACATAGATGAATAGTAGAAACTCTTCGTCCTTTTTTTTTCTTTTTCTTATCTCTTTTGTATTCATCTACTTCTGCATCTATCTTTTGTTTTTTTGCCTATCTTTACATGCTTGATTTATTCTCAGGCTAAATGATGTAGTAAAATCGTTTATGCCAAAGAAAACGTTTTTCTAATCGATGATTAACAATAGGTATACTCCTTTTATAGTCTTCAGTGTTGTGTAATCACTATGATTATGATTATTTGTGAGTACTTCTCAGATTTGATGTAAATAATTTTTTGTTTGTTTTTAGATTCATATGAGATCAATATGTCGTCATCTCATTGTATTATAGGAAAGGAGTTTTTCATACATAGATCAGTTTTAGGTTTAATATTCAATTTATCATTCAACTTCTTCACGTTTCTTGAATATTTTATTTCTCTTGTTTCGTCTCATTAAATCGTGTGTTGAGCAACCTTATCGGTTAGTCGTTCTATTGCATAAGCCTTTGTGTATCTTTGTAAATATGCTAGTTTTCTGTCTCTTACTGCTTTCTTGCGTATGCACTTTTGTTCTTTAGCACTCTTTCCTCTTGTATAAGCTCTCATGTTTGTGTGTATGCATACACCTTTTAAGAGTGTAACGCACTACTCTATTACTCTAAGCTGTATAGTTCGTTTGTTGGCTAGTAGTTGATCGCGAGTAAAAGAAGCTTCTCTGTGTACGGTTGAATTCTTTAGTTGAAATTGTATACTTCTTGTTCGCATTCATGTAATTGATTGCATCTTATCCTTTGTGAAGTAAGTGGTATCTAATCTCTGTATACATATGCATCTTTGCCTATAGGATGAATCTGTTGTTTTTCATTATGAACTCATCATTTTGTTTCGTATCTTTGTATTGCTTCCCTGCCTCATAGACTAATGATGTGTTAACTATAATGAACATTGTCTCCTTCACTCACTGACTCACTCACTCTTTACAATGATCGTATCACTTTTTTTATACCGTAACATTTTCTCTCTAACCTACTTCGCCTTCTGTTCATTCCTGTTATCATTTGTCGGGGGTAACACTTCTTTTCACTGTCACCTTTCTCCTAGTACTGTTCAGTGTCGTGTACTTTTTTTTAAACAACATAATTTTTCGTTGAAAATGTCAGTTTACAATTTGACTTATCATCACTATGATGTTATTACAGATAATAATATTTGATTCAGGTCTTCTAGATTCACTGCCTTTCTTCATGTTGTCTTCTTGTTCTCTGTTATCTTATTGCTATGTCATCAATACCGATTGCTGGTGTCATTTTGTGTGTTCAATGTTTCATAAACACAATGAGTAATCTATAAACAATGAGTATGCAAGTGTACAAGCAACATAGAGGAAGGAGAGAAAAGAAGCAGTTGGATTTTATATATTCAGAAGCACAAACACTTACACAGTAAGTATAGTAATACGTGTTACCAACTGGACACAATGTTCTTTTACTGTCCTATCACCTTTGTTTCATATAATATGCCAAATAATACTGACATAAGCCTACAAATTGATGGTATTACTGCCATTATTTTAATTGTTGATCACATTGCTATCTCAAATGGGTCGTGATATATATATATATATATATATATATATATATATATATATATATATATATATATATATAATGCATTTATCTATCTTATTTACCTATGAAGGATGAATTAGGACATTGAGTTTTTATTTTTTTTCCTTTGTTCTTTTTCACTTATTCCATAGTTGTATGCGATTTCAATCATCTGTCTATGTAACAATTTCGCTTAAGGATCTCTTTGCATTTGCATTACTTCTACTAATGCTACTACTATCACTATTATTATGATTATTATTGTTAAAGTGCACACTTCGATTAAAACTGAGCAAGTAAGCACAATATCCACATATTTAGCTTTCAAGTAATTCAATACTTTTAGGATTGAATATTCTCTTTCAACTTTACTATATTCTTGTTGTTTTATCTTCCTCAATGGGAAAAGACGTCTTTTATGTGTTTATATTCATGTTGGGCGTCCTTTGTGCCCGTTTATTTGTCTGTACGTCATTGTGTATACATTTTATCTCTATTCAAACACTCCGCTTGTTTTTTAAAATTCCTGACTTGTTCAATGTTCAATAATCATCACTTTTATGTGTTAGTTAACAGTAACGGTTAACTACATATAAAGTCGTCGTGTTCTGTCATTTTTAATGGTTTAAAAAAAAATAATATCCCTATTTGTCTTTGACTAATTTGCTTATCTCTCTACTTTCTTGTATTTTATGACTTTCATTTGATCTTGAAAGCGGAGGATTAGAGATAACTTTATTGAAAGAAAGATATTTTCATTGTGCACTAGGAAGCAGTTTTGAAAACTAACTTTAATTTCTTATTGTATACAACCAGAACAGCAAAGACTTTCCTTACTGTTGGCCCAACAACGACTACTAACTAGCGTTATATCTCGCATCATTCTTACCAATGTTACTGTTATTGTCAATCAATATTACCTGAGCTGGGCTCATTTCTGTAACACGTTTTTTGACGTATGTGATCCACTTGTTTGTTGTTGTTTTTAGTTTGCTAAATTTCATGCGAAGAAAAACCCAACAAACAAAATTATATAAAAATCAAGATAAAAGACTCTTTTATTAACATGATTATGCAGGATTAGAGTTGCACGGGAACTACTAAGGCCATGACAGATTTTTATTGGGAACATTGGAATGTTTGTGAGGTTCGATACACTAATATTATGACTACAAGATGTGAATGTTAGTCAAGTTTCGTCTTCATCCTAGCAGCTCAAAGGTACCCATTTTATATAGTTAGGTAAGAGTAGTAAGTATAATTACGAAAGAGTTTGAATAAGTTAGGTAGTTAGCCTGAGTCGATTTCTACTATTTAATAATGCTAAGTTGTTCGCTTCACTCAGACCTTTGAAGTCTTTAAGTCTATGTTAACTAGGATATTGTTTAAAACATGTAAGTTGAACTTTTCAGGTATTTAGTTCGAATTCTGAAGTGTGAGCAATGTTAAGATCAGGCGAAGGGTACTAGGTAAGACAGTTAAGTCGATTGATAAGGTTATGAACCTGATCCAATTGAGATGGCTTGGACGTGTACTATGAATGCTGAGCCACTGTCTACTTTAATGGTTGGAAGAGGTTTCACGATGCGAGACCATGACGTGGGACCAATCGATAAAGTCCCTAACTGTTGCTCTGAGCTGTGTTGACAGATGTAAACTACCTATCTAGGGTCTCCGACTGTGGGCGACATCTTCAAATTGTTTGTCCTGTCACACAACTTTGTCTACTATGATATTAATCTTTTTCTATCCACCTGTTCTTTGTATATTACACCGATGAAGTTATGTGCGAGGTTCTCTATTGATTTTGCCTGTTTATATTCAAGAAGATACACTTAATATGTTAGAACTCGACAGGCAGTCTGTAGCATGGATTATCGCTTAATGGTTGGCCTTCATTTCTAAACTAATTCAACTGACTTATTTGAACACAGGGTTGGTAGTTTAGTGAAGGTGATATGAAGACGCATACTTGATACCGTTATCTGTCTGCGGAACTTTACTGATAAAATATCTCTTCGGGGAGAAGTGTGAAAGAACTGTATTTACTATTAATTTCTATCAATGTCTTCACCTTTTTGTTTGAAACGAGCTTCAGCTATTCATGGTGATTTGTTTCTGGCTGGGCTAGAACAACTTGCATTTAACTTACGGATTGTTTTTTAATGTTTGGTAAAACAAACAATGTGAGCAAAGAAATATTTCTTTTCAATTAGTTCCTCATCAATGGCTCTACACTAATATAGCATTTTCAAACGTAAAATTACATACCAATCTAGTGGTGAGAGTTGTTCAATGAAAGGTTATCAATCTCAAAGTATCAAGAAGGTGATAATTGATCAGGTAATTAAGACAGTTAACTAAAGCAAAGATTAATTATCGTAGAAAGATTTTGCGAACAGGTTCTTACATAATTGATATTTTATATAATGATAACTAAAGAGCAAAAATGAACTGTTACGTAAAATGGTAAATTGTTGACGGTAATTAGAGACAGTAGGGGGAGAGAAAGATGATTAAGTCTGTAATAATAATAATAATAATAATAAAATAATAATAATAATAATAATAATAATAATAATAATAATGGAGCTATTGAAATATTAGTTATAGTGAATTGTGT